AAAAAAAAAAAAATACCATTTATTTAGATTATAACATTAGCATATGCACAAAATGCACAATTGGTACATGTATTTCTCTTAAAAGTCTGTATGATTTTGGCACAAACTTTATTTCTGGAATTTCCATACAATGCAGTGTATATGATTTGACTTAAGAGTCAAATTACAAGGATACATTCGAATTTAAGTGTTTCACTTAAGAGTCTGTTTGATTGACCGCTAATATCATTTGACTAAATGTTTGTTGAGATTTGATTAGGGTTGAGCCCTGGTTTTACATTTTTATTTCAATGATAAATTCGAATTGTTGCAAAATTTGGTTGGGTTCATTATAGTCTTGATTGAATTACTAATGATCAGCTTTCAGTTTAATTTCTTTAAGAGGTTAGTCTAGTTTTCTTCGTTGTACTGTTGCATAAATCCGTACTCAAACAATTGGTTAAAATTAGAGCTAAAAGGGTTATAGTGGTATCTTTATAAAAAATTGTATATTGTACTGTCAGCTTTTATCATAGCATATGATTGTATAAATATAAACTACTGTATTAATGTATCATCAAATTCTATGGATCCTGTCTTTGAAGTTTTAGTACTAGTTAATGTTCTAGTGACTTGTGTCTACTTATATATCAGCTTGCTTACTGTAAAGCAGACATATGCTTCTTCTTTCTCTATGTGATATTCGTTAATTTAGCATTTTAAGATAACATGATGAAGTTACTTTTTGGGTTTCTCATTGCAGAATACATATGAAACACTATTCTTCATAGTGGACTTGCATGCGGTATGTTACAAAATTTTGATAATAAAGTTATAATCTCTGTCTTTATGTTCATAATTTTCTTCCGTACATCTGACATAATTTGTCATCTGTAATTCTGTATGAATAGTTTTATCTTAAATTGTTTGTTGACATGTACGTATGACTTTCATTTAATTAATTTTTATGCTTTTAATAATTTTCAAAGTCAAACTCTTATTAGAAATAGCCAGTAGGGGTTATATCTATTTTTTGTGTACAGATTACAATTGCATATTTTCTATACTGATTGTTTTGAACAAAATAACATTTTCCATCCTCTGTTACCTTTAGAACAACTCAACCTTGGATGTGTCATTGGTTTGGAATTCTTTTTGTCCATTCAGCTCTGTCCAATGGTATCTTCTTTCTAATTGAAACATTTATTGGGCTATTGATATTTGACCTGGACAAACAATCATCATATAAACTTTAAGCAGCACTGCAACACCTTTCTTTCATTGTCAAAAATAGAACTGAAATAACACCTTTTTGCTCCTTGCTGAGTATGTCTTTAACGAAATGCATTTATAAAGCCTGTCTTCTTGTAATACATTTTACGACCTTGATTCCAAAACACTTCATCCAACTTTGTCTTCTGTCGTGTAGCTCTCCCTTCAGATGAGTACAACGTACACCAAGACACCTGTCTTGCATATAAGTCCCATATGACCAGTTAAGCAAGACAATATTTTCATATTTAATTCTAGAGAAACTTTACTATGGGTGAAGAGAAGTATTTTTAGACAGGCCTTTTTGTGCCACTTGTATGTGTTTAAAAACTTTATACATTTTTTTTATTAGAAATTCATATTTTACATTTCATTACTTGTTATCTTTGCTCAATGTTTATCATCGCTTTTAACTTCGGGTCTATTTTGGCAGACCTTTTAATACTTCCTTGTAACCTCTCTTCTTCTCATCATTCCAGATAACTCTACCATATGATGCACAACAGCTAGCCAAAGCCACCAGGACTACTGCAGCAATTTACCTGGCATGTGGAGTGGACACCTCCAAGGTCTTAGACAACTGGTTTTCTCTGTTTATCCTACACTACTCTTACAGTTTTACCATCTAGTGGATTAAGAAAATGTACTTATGATTTTTGTTTTACTTGTAGGCCTCTGTCTTTGTGCAATCTCACGTTAGGGCTCATGCAGAACTGATGTGGCTGCTGAGTTCTGCCACTCCGATTGGCTGGCTGAACAAAATGATTCAATTCAAGGAGAAATCTCGCAAAGCGGTGAGTTGTTCAATCCTTCCCACCCCTTAGTTCATAATATATTTTATTTCAGAAAACGATTATTTAACTTTGAACAACTACGATTAGGAGAGACCATCAGAATTTTTTATTAAAAGAGAATGATAATCAACTTTTGTTTCTTATTCTTTTTAGTGGGGTGTGCTAGGATTGTGCATTAGTGCAACACATGGCCACGTAGGCGACACATGAAGGCCCCAATAGCAAGCTATTGTGGTGGACCTTTCCCCAAAGAAGAATTAATTTAATATCTTATGAGGGAGTGTCTCATGTATCAGATGCTAAACTGTGAAGAACAGAAACTACAGTTGATCTTAACCAAAATGCTGAGAGTGCTAATCAATTTCCATTACTGAAATTAGATTCTAAATGGCGAACTTCTGAATTGTTTACATGACCTGACCCGACTCGACTCGCTCCTCATGGCAGCTAGAAGGATATGAGTTGAAGATGACCATCGTTCCACAAAGGACATTCTCAAAAATGTCACTTCTTTCCAAACTTTCGGTCCAAATTGGATCTGGAGTTTAAGTGCATTGTGAAATTCTCAATAGTGTTGTTGGGTGTGACTTTCCCGGGGGTTTTGTTAGCTGTGTGCATGCCTGGCCTTCGATTTGCAACCTGTTTGATATGCATTACTAGCTTGTTATCGTAGAATCAAATCGATTGGTCATGAAACCAGAACCTTTTAGTTTCAACATGAAATTGTTCCTCTCCAGTTAGGTTTAGGTTTGTTTATTCCACTTATCAGTCAAATTGGAAGAAAGGCCAAACAAACTCATGTTGCCATTGGTTTTTACATAGCACAATCCCAGTATATATATATATATATTTAAGTGAATTAAGCTGTATGTCTGGACCTCAAAATGTCAAGTTATATAAAAACTGCACATGTGAACTCATTCTGGGTTTTGTATATTTGATTTCCTTAAATGAGTCGTGTTGATGATGCTTTCATATTGTTTTGCAGGGAGATGAAAACGTTGGAGCTGCATTGTTGACCTACCCTGTTTTGATGGCTTCTGATATTCTTTTGTATCAGGTGTTTTTCATTCACTAGTCACGACGCTTTGAAATTGTACATTGAAATAGAGATGCATATATAAAGATGTAATTCCAGTTACATGGAACAACGAAAAATAAAGTTCAATCATTCCTTACACTATGGTGTTCCCAACTATGACTCCACAAATTTTATGAATTAAGTTTATCAATCCATATTGTACACTAATTCCAACATCCCATGTCTCATTTTCTGCTCAGATAACTTTTGAATGTCACCTGCAAATTCTTGATTCTGATCGGTTACAATATGCTTTTTTCTCAGTCCGACCTTGTTCCAGTTGGTGAGGATCAGAAACAACATCTAGAGCTGACTCGTGAGCTGGCTGAGCGAGTAAATTATTTATACGGAGGAAGGAAGTGGAAGAAACTGGGAGGGTAAGAAGGAAGATGTCTTTAGATGTACTTGAGTAGTATATTTCTCCAATTAGTTTTTATGTTTCTTTATTAGGATTTGACTGTATGTTATTCTGGTACCAGGCGGGGTGGTGCAATTTTTAAGGTGCATTCCGGTACTTAACTCCTGGTTGATACCTGCTGCCTGATAATTTCAAATATTATGTTTATGATAACACCGGAGGGATCCTTACGCAAATCAGTTTATTTTTTTAGGTTCCTGAACCCCTAATTCCACCTGCAGGAGCCAGAGTGATGTCCCTTACAGATGGTTTATCCAAGGTATGGAGGATTTTCATTTTCCAATTAAAAAGATGCCTGTCTAGCCTTGTTGATGGAATTATATAAACTACATACATACTGTACTGTACACACTGACACCATAAAGGAAGTGGTTGCTTCCTTATGTTTTATAGGATCTTACGATATAATACGGTTGACTTCTATTTATTGAGGACTAAAGGCCCTTCCTCTTATATAGACTTGATGAATTCGACAATTTTGACGAGGCTGCTTGGGGATAATTGGAGGGACCACTAAATAATCAAGGCTATAGTCTTTAGTTTACTTATGTTGACTAACACATCCATCACAATTAAACCAACCCTCCCATCACTATTAAATCTGCCACAACCTTATAAATATGAATGCTCTACGGTAGCAGTTAACATGACATTAATACCAACATCATCAATATGGCCGAATTATGATATAACAGATTAGTGATTTTGAGTTTACACATCTTTACTTTACACACAGGTTTATTTAACATTCTACTTTTATCTCATGTCACATCCAATAATTGTTGGTTGAGATGGAACTTGTTTGTGATTTTCATACAAAGACATTTGTAAACTCTGACAAATGGAACACCATCCCAAAGCCAAGATATAACACAAGTGCAAACTAAGAAGACAGCGTGATGCCCTTTAAACCACTATTATTGCTTAACACTTTTAAGGAACGATTGGGTAAGTTTCTCAGGTAGACAACAGTTATTTCAATATGTGCACCCTATTAGGATTTCATACTCTCGGGTGCAGTCGCCCTTATGAGCGTAGCCGTTGATCTGGGCTTCTTGGTTTGGAGCTCAAAGTAACCTACGATAAAAGGAGATTGAACATGTTCAATCAAGAAAACAATGTTGGGTTCAGTAATCACATCATTAGACATATGGGATGTGATGCATAGATTTGGAGGCCAACCCCATACACACACAGAAACTCACTCATGAGTAAAAGGAAAACCATCACACACACAGAGAGAAACTCACTCACGAGTAAAAGGAGAGCCGCCACAAGAAAGACACGTCAATTTATCATTTTTTTGCTGAACGTCAATTCGAAAATATGATTGCAACTAATCAGGGGGCAACACGTCAACTATTCATGAAGACTATCGAATTAAAACAAAATCGTAATAGCAACTAATCAGGGGGCAACACCTATTATTCCATCTAACAATAAGATAAAATGAAAATACTCATGAATAGTATTCATGTTGATAATAACGGTAAATGGTATCGCTGGTAAGAGCTGACACAAAGGGGCTAACATGGTTAGAGTTTGCGGTTCTTATATACAAAAAGAGTAGACTATAAATATTTGCTCTGTATCTACAAAATAGACCCTTTGATGCACCTATGAATTATATCTAGTTGATTCATCTGCAGATGTCCAAGTCTGCACCTTCTGAACAGTCCCGCATCAATCTTCTCGACCCAAAAGATGTAAGTATTCTTCCTTGCTTAATCTGCATCTTTTATAGAAGTTCTAAGTTATTTAGACATCATGTAGTCAATATGTAATTCTGCATGCTATGCGGAGTGACATTTGAAGAGATGACTAGTGTGTGACATCCATCCTGGTGTGTTAAACGATTTGCTTCTCTTACTGTGATCATTTAATAAGCATGGTTATATTAGGTTTGGTACCATGTTGAAGTAATATGGTTGGGACTTTCGTTTGCGTTCGTTTTTCTGTCTTGTTGATGTTTCCTCTATTTGCTGAATATCTTTAACATTGTTTGTCTGCATGCTGTTCTGTAGGTGATAGTCAACAAGATAAAACGCTGCAAAACTGATTCATTCCCTGGGTTCGTAATCTCTCTCTCTAAACTGTCCTCCTCCTATATTGAGATTATCCTCTCTAAACTGTCCTCCTACTATATGGCTTATTTTTCTCAATTTAAGACTCTGGCCCATTGGATTTAATCTATATTGATATATTAGAAACTTTCTGTGGGTTGATATGGAGGACCACTGTAGATACTAGCTTGTCAACTGGGATTTGATCTGCGTTCCCATACAAAAAAGTTCGGTGTCTTATTCATTGAGATATGTATACTTTGAAAGTTTGAATGGTGCTGTTTCTGGGTCAGTGGCTTTGGAGGTTTGTGAATTGTGAATAATATGAGTTATTTATGGAGGAAAATGTGGTGTCATGTTTTGGTGCCTCTCAGCTTAGTTAGGAGAATCAGTCTGTTGCATCTCTTCTGGTTGTGGGGTGGGAAGGGCCATCGTAAATTCACAATTTCTTGTATTGTTCAAGACATGTATAAGTATAGGTTGGAGGTCAGAGTAAAATACATTATTGGGAGATTTGTGGCATCAAGAGTATTTCGAGATATAGCATGATAGGATGATACTTTGTTTAACCGGTTGGCAGTTAAGGGGAGTATTACAATCGAATGCAAAGGATGGGGGGTATGAGTGAAAATGTGAAATACATTTCATGGCAGGATTTGTGGCTCCAAGAGACTTTTAAAAGATGGTATGATACTTTGATCATCAGATTGGCTTTTTAAGAGAGGGGCATACTATATGCAAATGCATAATGAGGCCTAGTGGTGCTATACTGCTATTTCTTGAAACTTCTAGTGTTTGCAAAATCTTCTAACCACTGTGCCATAATTAGACTTTTGTCTCTTGGCAAGGCTAGGCACTGTGGCCCCCAGTAGGGAGGACTTGTATGCAATTGTATTATACTGTAACGAGAAAGAGATGTTTCCACCAAATCATTCTATTTCATGATCTTTTCCATATTCTCTCCCAGTAGATTCATCCCTATATCTAGTTTCCCAAGGGACAGGATCGTGGATACTGTTCCAACCACAATTTCATTCTTGTTTGGTGTGTAAATTTTGAGTGCCTTATACCAGTAGAAAGAACAATTAATTTATTGGTCCCATAGACCTGATTCCCCTTTCTTATGCTGGAAGTCATTGTGGCCCCATTGGTGCTGTTTTGACAGAAAAGCAGAAACGTCCTTCGTCCTCCACTCGCCATTGTGCGAAGCGACTTTGCCCCTTTTCAGTAGGGGAGAGAAAGGTCAGACCTTAGAAAGTCAGCGAACACCCATCCAGAAGTTTTCGTAACTCAATCATGCATGATGGAATCATCAAAGATTTGATCTTTTCGAACTCTGTCTGTAACTCACTAGAGGCTCGGGAAATGAACACTTAGCGGAGCTTCTGGGTCAGGGCCTTGGCTCTCCTGGGCATATGTAGGCCTTGGGTCCACGAAAGATAAGGGAGAGAGAGTTACGCACGACTTGGTAAGGAGTTGTGCGTACATGACCACTGTGATTGGAGCGATAGTTTTTACTTGGACTGATTAGTTGGCTAATTAGTCTGATTTTACCACTTGTCAGTCCATTTAAATTAGACCACTAATCAGTTGCACTCCTGGAGTGATTAGTGTACTAATCATATCATTAGAGCACTAATCATACTGAATCATACCTCTAAGTCTCTTATCAAACACCCTTAAACACAATTTCAATTTTTTATGTTAATATGAAAGTGCACCATGTGAGTTTCCAAACATGAATATGAAAAAGATTTGTTCAATCACCCTAGAAATAGTCATATATACTCAAGTC